GTAATATATAGACTTGCAAATGCTAGTTGTCTTAGATTCTTTCAAGGGGCAATTTGTTCATGTCAGAGGTTTCTGGAATGACAGTTGTTCTCTGAGAATTCTAAAGGGTACCTTATTCTAGTACCTTTAAACACTAGAATATGATGTGTCTTGATTTGAAGCTTTGCTACAGATATGTTGCTTTCTTTATTTTCTGAAGAGTGATTTGATTTGGTACCTGAACATATACAGATTGTACAAATTATATCCATAAATACCGATATAATATTGTGAAGAATCTCTAAAAAGTCATGTCAATGTGAACATTGTGAAATCACTAGCTACTTATCTAGAGAGAACTTTTTCTATTCCTGTGCATAGAGATGATCTGGATTTGGCAGCTCCCATCTGGCCTCTTCCAGCTGTTTAGATGAGTCATTCCCATGTGCCTCTCCTTTTTGCTCTGTCAAGTGGTATTACAATGTGTTTCTCTATTCTTGTGGCCAAAGGGGGGAAATCTGCCTGATAATTCTGAGGACTATAATTCCCCTACAAACAGCTATGCCTGTGTACATACTGGCTAGATTTGTATTCTGTGAACTAGAGTGACACTGAATTTGAAGAGCTTTTTGTTAATAATAAATATATAAGGAAGCTTTCTTGTGAAGGTGTTGTATGAAGATGTTAATCTTGATTCATGCCAGATCTTCCACCACCACCACCACCCAGAGGCCCCCTGTGCTCCGCTTCCTGCTCCTCAAGGTCTCTGCAGGCCTTGGGTCTGCTTCCCTCTCCACCAGGCTCCACACCCTTCTCCTCATCCCATGTCACTAATTATGCTTATGTTTCAAAGATCTCTGTTGCTTGGCTTAGGGAAGGAGTGCAGGCTGCTCCATTCCTGGACTATGTATTGAGATTCTGAAAGTAAGCACCATTTTCAGAGCAGCCACAATTCAGTGAGACTATCCTAAGAATGGCAGTCACTTCTGGAAATGCGCCACATGGCCCAGGAACAGAATGGCCTATCCTCCCTTCCCTAATCCATGCTTTGGAAATCTTCGAAAGGCAAGTGAGGAGGAGGCCGTGGGTCCAGTGGTAAAGCAGGCCCAAAGCCTACAGGAACCCAATAGGGGGAGGAAGGTTGGGGGGGGGGACACTGTAGCATCCCTGCAATTCAAGAGTGAATGATCGCAGGCACCCTACGGCAGTTATACCTTTGGAATTGGGTCTAAGTAGTTTTTGGGGAGTCCACCATAATGTTGAATAGTTGCTAAGCAAGTCATTATTGTCAAGGACTTTCACAATATAATGAGGATGCTTTCTCAGTTAGATTCTGTACAATTTTTCAGTTAATGAATTATTATTGATACGAGATTGCCAGCATGGTTAAACTGCTAAACTTTGTTTGTACCAGCTTCCTTGCACTGAAGTATAAGTATAATCTTTATTGTCATTGTACTTAAATACAACAAAATTGGTGTGAAGGTCTGTTTATTCATAAATTAGACCAATAAATTGGAGAAAATGCATCAATTCAGGAGTAATGAACATGATTTAGATGCAGGAACTGGCAAAATAGCTTTAATTTGGCCAACTACATATTCTGTTCTCCAGCAAAGGGTTTCAGAAGCTGGCCTACATGTTTAAAATATTCCAAGTCAATTCTATAACTAGTTTCTTACAAAAGGCAGTTTCTTGTCCTCATTATATCAAGAAATAAACCATATTGTTCTATTTCTATGGGCTTGTCATGGCAACTATGGCAGAAAGTAAACTC